GTTTTTTTATTTATTTATTTTAAACACTAAGAATATTACAAAAATATATATACATCACACCCTTAAACCTACATTGGTTTGTCCGGGTGCTGCACGTTCTCCTTAATTACGTCTTAATATTACATTCTTATGAAACTTTTACATGAATTCTTTACATTCATAGGGCATGAAAACTTAATTTCATTACACTGTCTCATTTGCAAGAGTATTTATGTATGCATATACATATGTGCACAGGTTATATAAAAAGGTGCAGTCATATTTTGGTACATTTGAAACGCCGTGAAACTCAGCAGCGTTAGGCAGAAATTAAAAATGTATCGAATTTTTATTTTCCATTCATTTTACCGCATCGCCCCGGATTCGTTCGGAAAGTTGATTTTATTACGTATAGAACATTTTTTATGGCTCAAATTGTTCAATTTCATGAACAGTCATATTAAAATATTACTATATGTTTTTGTTACACCATGATACATAATAAAAATGGTTGTTTCTAACCGTCACTGTACTGGGACCATAATATAATATATTACAAGTTTCAATGTCTTTTGTGCCTCGAAGGGATGCTCTATACACACTTACGTTTTTATTCATATACATGTATGACGACGTGTGTGTGTCTATTGACGATGTCCCATATCGATAGCGATACTGTTGAAAGGTCAACGTGTTTCCTCGGCTCGTATTAGAATTTTACTTGATATTGATACTTTATAAATCTAAAAATAAGGATAAAAATTAATAGAGCCATTGTCAATTATTATGAGTAATTATAATGATAATTATACGTGAGACGTCCAACTGAGAAATGGGTAGGTGATATCGTCGTAGTCGTGGACTGTTGGGTGAAAACAGCGTAAAGTTGTGATGAATGATACAAACTAAGGGAAGTCTAACGTAACGTAACCCGCAATAGGTAAAGTGTGATATTGAAGGATAATGATTATTGCCACACAAATCTTAACGACAACCACCGTGGTCGAGGCTTGCGCACCGGTTTTCACGGCGTCGCCACCTCTGAGGTCCCGGGTTCAATCCCCGGCCAGGTCAATGTAGAAAAGTACCTTTTCTATATTGTCTCCGGTCTGGGTGTTTGTGGTACCATCTTTGTTTCCGATTTCCATAACACAAGTGCTTTAGTTACTTACTTTGGGATCAAAAAAATGTATGTGATGTCATCTTATATTTATATATGTTTCTTGACTATTTTTTTTTATTTATTTATTTACTCATATTACAACTGTTACTTATTATATACTTAGCACTCTTAAGCCTAAAAAGGTTTGTTTGAGTGTTGCAACTCTTCTTAACATTGCGGATCTCCTTAACTAAAAGTTATACGTCTATTTAAATAGATAACAATAATTTCTTTAAGTGAATTACTGACTTTAACTTGCTGATTTGACTTGAAGATTTTATAACAAGGTAGCAACCATTTTTCTCAATATTTATAATATATTTTTGTAGCAGTAGAGCTTCTTGTGAAAGATTTGATCCAGTGAAGTACTGCCACCTTAACTTAACGGTTTGGAAGGGTAACGGTGCTGGTAAATTACAGGCATATGAGATTTGTCAATTTATGTCTCAAGGTGACGGGCGCAGTGGCAGTGCCCCTCAGGTATTTGCGATTTAAAGCTCTGAGTGGCATTGCAACTGTAATGGACAGCAGTATCGCACCACCAGGTGCACAACTTGTTCGTCCAGTCCCTTGGCATTAAACAAAAAAAAATATTTTATTGATTATTTATAAAGTTTTTACTACCGTGATGTTGATTATATTTTTTTTTTGTGAAAATACTCTAGTAATTTGTTATTATTATTGATACAGACTCGAACAAGTAAGTATTTGTTGCCTCACGGTGAGCCTGCTACAGACCTTTATACTGGGTTTAAACGCCTTATTTGCTGTTTTGTCTCAACAACAAAACCAGTTTTCTTTTCAAAAAATTTCAAAGATAAAACCCAGTAAAAGTTTACTATCTCGCATTTCTCTATATTATTTTGCAATAAAGCCGTCTATTACAATAGACATACACCGTATCTTTCATCTTTTCTATATCTATGTTTTTTGGTCTGTGTGGAATAAAATGGTGCTACATGTAGAGATAAGGCTCTTACAGAAAAATTGCTGGATTTTTATAAATATGACACCAATAGATTGGTATTTTTTTTAATGATGTCAAGTGACGACACGAACAAGTCGTACGCCTGGTGGTAAGCGACACGCCGGTCCACATCAGTTGCAGTGCCACTCAGAGCTTTAAATCCCAAAGATCTGAGAGGCACTGCCACTGCGCCCGTCACTCTGAGACATAAGTTGACAAGTACCATGAGCTCACATTACTGCTTGGCGGCAGAAATCGGTAAGGTCGCAGTACTTCCCTGAACGAATTTTTTTGTATGGTACTGCAGATTTGCAAATTGTCACTATTGTATATATTTCTGTAGATAAGTTTTATGGAATTTTCACTGAAGTTGGTAACAACTTAGATGTCAATTCAAAGACAACGGTTTTAATTTTTTAAAGGTAAATTATGTGTGCATGTCATGCACGAAAAGAGCCTCTTCCCTCGACGTTTTGTTTTGATACTAAGTAACAGGACGAAAAAGTCGTGCACCTGTTGGTAAGCGTGACATCTGTTCACAACAGTTACAGTGCAAAGGGCATTGCCACTGCGCTCGTCATCCAGAAACATATTTTGGCAAGTCCCATGTGCCTGTGATTTCACCAGCACCCTTACCCTTCAAAACCGGAACACACTAATACTGACATTACTGTTTGGCGGCAGAAATAGATAAGGTGGCAGTACTTCCCTGGACGAACTCTTTCATAAGAAGCTCTACTGCTACTAAATTTAAGATAATATTCGACCTCCAAGGGTGGCAAACTACTTGGTGGCAGAAATAGGTACTACAATACTTCCTGGACGAACTGTTCTACAAGAAGCTCTACACTACTAATTTCTAGCGGTTTGATATGTGTAACGAACTGTAATGTTTCATTGGGAAAAAATGCTTTGTTTACACCAAATAATCGATTTTTTGTGTCCAACATGAAATATAGTACTATTATATGTGGATTAAACCCTGTATTGTTTATCGTCTCAGAAGCCAACATTTGGAACTCCACTCATGTTCCTGTCCGTACATGGCTGTATATGATGCCTAATCTGGAACTAAAACACAAACTTGTTTGCTTAACAGAGCATGCACGTACCCCACAGTTGATGACCTCGCCTCACCGCAGGCTATTCAAGTATTGCTACAACTTTGTCTCGTATCAACAACGAGTGGTGTAGTTACTTTCGATGTTCTATTTATCATTATCATGATAAGCAACTTGGATTTGTTTTTATGTAAATGTAGAAGTAATGCTCGCATTACATTAAGGTGGCAGCACTACCGTGGACAAAGTCTTTCACAAGGAGGTCTAGTATTCAATTGAAAGTTATTCACGTAGAAAGTGAAAATTTTCATAATATAATAGTTAGTCTATATAGAGGAGTCACAGCTGGACACAGACCTCTCATAATGGAAGGCTTTGGGCTGTAGTCCCCACGCGGGCTATGTGTGGATAGGAAACTTCACTGCGCCTGATGGTAAGCTACACGCCTGTCCATAACAGTTGCAGTGCTGCTCAGAGCTTTAAATCGCAAAGATCTTAGGGGCACTGCCACTGCGCCCGGCACCCTGAGACATAAGTCCCTTGTGTCTGTAATTTCACCAGCACTCTTACCCTTTAAAACCGTAACACAGTAATGCTGACATTACTGCTTGGCGGCAGAAATAGGTAAGGTTAGGTTAGGTAGGCAGTACTTCACTGGGAGAACTCTTTCAAGAGGAGCTTTACTGCAACTAAACTTACATTATTTAATTCCTTTGCAGTTGTCTGCGGGTTTCCACATGACGTTTTTCTTCACTGAAAAGCTTATAGTAAATTTCAAATGAAATTTCGCACGTAAATTCTGAAAAACTCAGAGGTGCAAGCCTGGATTCAAATCCACGACTCTCGCGCAAGAGGTGGTAGGTCAAACCATTAGGCTTTTACTGCTGTAACATTTTTAGAACATCTAAAGAAATTGAAATTTCGTGTCAAAGATGAAACTCGGTGCGAAAGTGATTATTCGAGCCTGAGACAAACCTTGGGGACAATGAAAAAGTTGGTAATTACAATCGGGAATTTCCACAGGCTTAATGGGATCCTTTTATTGGCAGCCAATATGAAGGAAGTGATTTCAAATAACGGTTCGAGTAAGCTCTAATATTGGAAACGCAATTTTGTCTTGTGAGTTGAATAATGAGTATTCATTTGATATTCATCATTTTTCTCGGTAACAATGTAAATATTAGCTTTTTTGGCAATGTCACGTACAAGATAATAAAAGTATTTGATTGAGTTAAAACAACAAATGTTATACTCTATATAATACACTTTTGATCTTGAGAACAAGATCCATTTTTGTCATGATTAAAAACAAACTATTTCATACAAAACCTTTGATTGAAAGACCATTCCCCATAGAAGTCTAAAGAAGCAATTGAAAATTAACTGAACGTTGAAAACAATTAAAGTCGTCAAACAATTATAAACGCTCTTTTGTAGTAAAGTTTATATTAAGCTAGCCATTAGTACAAACACAATGATTAGTCAGGTTTGTACAGGCTCTGTAAACAATCCCCGTCAAAGTCAATTGAAGTCATTTACAATTTTAATTACACCCCAGTTCTGCGTGAACATTGTGCCAACGAATATACGACTTAACTAAAAGTAAATATAAGAGCTTTAATAGATCTATGTTTAATAAGTTATCAACGATTCCGCTGCAAAATTACGTGAGTTCTCAAGATCATTAAATATACAACAGCCTGTATCAGTTTGTAACAAATATTATGTTACGTTAAACGTCATTTAAGCAATCTAAACAGAGACACGTGGAAGTGAACGACACTCTACAAAATGTAAATAAAAACTAATTAACAATACAAAGCCGACTTACCAGAAGTCAAAATACAACCGTGGCCGACAAAAGCCGGCACCCTCACAAGACACTCCTTTATTTCACCCTGATAATCCCAAATCCTTCATAGCAATTATTTTTACGCACGCCTCATCCGTGACATAAGGTTATTAGATACACAGTGAGGAGGATAAATAACATAAACATGGTTGCACTGCACTATTCAAAAAGTCACTTTTAAATTTAAATATGGAATGTTGCTGGAACACCGAGTGTGTTTTTCCGGCGACGTGGCGGTTCGTTATGGGGCGCGGAGTGAAACGGGCGCTCGATGCGACCTGCGACACCACACTGGCAGGGATGCTGTCGGTTGCTACGATACGCGCCCGCTGCCACCCTTGTAGATTGGGCCGATGGGCCGCGAGCCTCGGGCCGCCGCCCTAGACGACATCGCAACCTACTTTTACGTATAGACGGCCACTGTCTGCGTAATAGCTCTTCAGCAATTTCCTGATAAATGCCGTAGATATTGTGTTTATGTGGCGTTCTACTAAATTGAACGCCATAAGTTATTAAAAATGATTTCGATTTATGTATAAACGCTGATTGGTATGAAGATAGGGCGTTGTAAACGATTTTGGTATTGAAATTAAAATTATGTATTTATTCGATAAGAACGATATTTCATTGTCTCGCGGTGACATAACGACTAACTAAACGCGTAATCATTTGGATACTTTTGTTTTCGTTACGTGTATAACAGTATAATTGAATAGTTGTTCTATAGTAGAACGTAAAAAAGGTTTCTGGTTGTGATCATTACCAACACACTATACGTCCCACTGATCTCCTCTAAGGAGAAATTTAAGGCCGTAGTCTAACAAGCAATTCATACTGATCTTGTTTGTAACATATTATTTATTTAAAAACCTACCTATTATGTTTAGTAGCAGTAGAGCTCCTCGTGGAAAGAATTTGTCCAGATAAGTACTGTCACCTTACCTAATTCTGCCGCCAAGCTATTTATGTGGAAGTACACATTTTAAATATTGTCATGTAGGTATTCGTGAAATCTTTATTCTAACAAATTCTTATTCTTTGTTTAAATATGCCAGTGATTTTAGTACATATATAACAACAATATATACATAATGTAGAACCTTATATTTATCGACTTTATACAGCTGCTTGGACTTAGATCGTCGTATAATAAATAAAGAAAAATAACCAGAATGCTGGAAATATAATTCGTCAAAATTATTTGGAGCGTTTAATTCGTGTGGGGCCGTGTTCATATTCTAGGTGTACAGAGTATAACAAAAAAGTTGCGACCATTTTTTAGCTGGTCCATCTCAGTTATAATAACAAAGACCTGTACTAAAAACACAATTGCAAATTCTTGAAAAATAATTTTGCTTCCCACGTAAAATATGCACGGAATTTTTCATGACTCGACACTCGACCAGTCGACATTCGAATTTTACTTGATATTGATACTTTGCGTATCTACAAATAAGGATAAAAATTAATAGTACCGTTGTCAATTGTTATAAGTACTTGTAATGTTATTTATACGTGAGACGTACAAATCAGAAATGGATAAACGTCCGAGTTGTGAGCCATAGATGGGTGATACCAGCGTAGAATTGTGGTGAATGATACAAAGTCCCAGCAATGGGTAAAGTATTTATGCTTAGATTAGTACGCTTGATGTACATCGGCGTTTAGTGCTTTCCCATTGGAATTTGTAGGATTTTCGGAGACTAAACTTCAACAAATACATATAGAAGGCCCAATACCTCCTGAAATCTCGGCATAATTAACAATAAAAGGCATAAAGATAATGTACATATTTTAACTCAAAATTACAAGACTTTTGTTCTAAATACACTATCGTAGTAATGAAATTGCTTGGTATACATCCAACATATACAACAAAATACAATACAATGTTCTGGATTTCAGACAAAGGTCATCTACACTCTGTATGTATTATTTCTTATTCCGATATCTAATAATAAGTAAAAAAAAACTACTTTGTTTTTGGCAACTGTTCTTGAAAAGCGATGACATGTTGAAAAAGTTCTTTATAAGAAATAAGAATATCTATTCCACTCACCTTCGAAATTAAATAGAAATACGGTTCCTATGACAACTAAAAACAAAGTTTTTCATTTTTAGAGCCTTAACAAAGAACTGAAGTCGGCAGTTACGCACTATCTTCTTGTCAAGATAAGAGTACATTTATCCTTGTTTTCTTTCACCGGTCGCTTAGCACTTGGGAACACCTAATAAACAATGCGTAAAGCCTTGTGTATTTTATTGTGTATGGAAGTGTAAAAGAGGGAATTAATTACATTTAATTAACAGCCAGTTTTCAAACAGTTTTCTTAAACATTTCCATTTCATCGGCATAAAACATTATAGCCCTACAAGATTTCTGTAACGTTTTATGATATTATAATTTTAGTGACGTTACGGAGTACAGGCACTAGAAGCGAACCCTGTATCACCGAATAAATTTCCAAATATATGAAATGTGTGTAGTATTTACAGTATCTTACTATTTACTGCATATACGTGGGGCGCACTATAAGTTTCCGGAATGAGTAAGAAAAAAATCATATAAATGGTCAGAAATGAATTTATTGTTTCTCAAAATGTTCTCCGTTAGCGTTAATGCACTTTTTCATACGAATGAACCAATTTTGAAAACATTTATGCCACTCCTCCGTGACAATCTCTGAAACATATTTTTCGTGCTCTTCGACAGCCTCTCCAGGTGATGAAAATCGTTGACCGCGTAACTGGTTCTTAATTTTTGGAAATAAATAAAACTCACAAGGTGCCAGGTCGGGACTGTAAGCATCTTCAAAAATTCATTTGCCTGTCTGGCCGTGTGAGAACTGGCATTATCGTGTTGCAAGATGATACGACGTTTACGGTTATTTTTACGCAGTTTGTCAATAACTTCCGGCAAACAAATGGTCGTGTACCAATCACTATCATGGTACAACGATTCTCCAAAGCAACAGTATCCGCGTGTCCAGTTTTATTAAAAAAAGAAGTAATCATTCGCTTGCAGGCACTTTGCACGCGCGCCACTTTGGTTGGTTTCGGCTCATCTCGAAAGACCCATACGCTCGATTGCTGCTTTGTTTTGGGATCGTAAATATAAATCCATGTTTCGTCACCTGTTATTATGTCCCACACCAAATTTGACGCCCCTTCATTTAATCTGGTAAGCATGGCATTGCACCAAGTGTCGCGAGCCGTTTTTTGAGCCTCAGTCAAATTGTGTGGGATCCACCGAGAGCACAGCTTTTTCACACCCAAATATTTGTGTAGTATTGATTGTATTTGACTCATGCTTATGCCTAAAGATGCTCGAATCTCATGATATATCACAAGCCTGTATGTTTTGATCATACGGCTCCAGCATCGATGTTTTTGTTGTTCACAGCAGTGGACGGGCGATCATTACGAAATTCGTCACTGAGATTCACACGACCGCGTTTGAACACTGCAAATCAGCTATAAATAGTTGTCTTGCATGATGCTTCATCACTAAAAGCAGTTTGAAGCCGAGCGAAGCTCCGCTGAGCTGTTCAATTACGCTTAAAGTCGTAGAAAATCATACTACGAGTTAAATCCATGATGATGTAGACAACCAATTTCTAAAATAACGCCACAATATAAAAACAAGTGACAGTCAGATGAAACATCTGTATTCTACAGCCAAAGAGTTCCATTTTGAAATGTTGTAATTACTTTTTAAATATTGTTGATGTAAGTGGCCGGTTCCGGAAAGTTACGCCGAAAAAGCTACAATAATATAAACTAGAATATGGGAGTTCAGAGACTCTGTTTATTGTTATGTATCACGCGATTTGCTTTTTTTTGCTAATTGTTGACGACTTAGCTATATTTCAGAACTCAGAGGTACTAGCTCCAAACACAATGGATCTTATCGTCAAATATCTGAATATATACAATTTGACCAACAAAACAGTATGATTTTTTCCAAGCTAAGGAAGAAACATTTCCATCTATCAATCTGTGATACAATTCAGAGATACAACATAAAAAAGAAAAAGTACTCGTCACCCCATCAATGAAGACATTATTATTAGCCGAGCTGACTAACGCGTCGTAATGTGGCGAAATGAGAATTAGACAAGATGGATAACGGACGACGGTGACGAAGGAGGGGTGATGCGCTTCGATGAGATTTTGATTGATTACCGGCTTTCGAGACAGCCTACATTGCTCACCAAGTTCTATTTACAAGTGTGCAAATTTAAATTCTATAAACCAACGTCCTCATTATTAAAACATTGCGACGCGACATGGTACCTCACGCACCAAATTTATGGCTTATTTTAGTACACACGCTGGCGACTAATAACAAAAGATACGGCTTCTAGACGAGAAATGCGATGGCAACTAGGCTTCACAGTTCAAGCGACAGTGGATAGTGCGTCTGTTCCTTCTCCATCCAATTTAAATGTGAACTCTCGAATCTACATTTTGAAACTTAAACAAATGGTTTCGAGCTAGGCCTATTTGCGAGTAATTTACATAAAGAGATATTAGTATGGGTAGTGCCAATTAGAACGATGGGTATGTATGAACTGTTGACGCATTGATCCTTTAGTTCTACAATTATACTACTACGTCAATCTACTAACAAAACCAATGTGTAATAAATGTTAAAACATGAATTGTCACGTACCCCAATATCGCTGCTATCAAGACCACAGGTAAACGGTCAACTAATTGCGCTTAGACTATAATTAAACTGCGAAAGCGCCATTATCGACTGCAAAGATAAATTGGTCGTTTTATAACACCCACTTTCAGTGGGTTCGCCTCAAGAAGAGATTAATTAAATTATAATGCGCATTGACGGATGGAATTACCGATCAGGTAGTAAAGGATTAATGGTTCTTTTAAGATAAGATCGATTTTTATTATACAAATACTTTCTATATAACCAAGCTCCTCGACTACATTGTCACTTACCATCAATGAGGTTATGTTCTAATGGTTGATATTATAAACAAAACTTTAAACACGCTTAATAATTAATGACAACTCTAGGTAGAAAAAATTAAGTTTCACCTAAAGTCTATGGATTTATTGAAAAAGGAGATGCTTAAGTTTATTTGAAATAGAAAACTACCGTGAGACTCAGACATAATAGAGTAAAGGATAACTTACGTATTTAAGTCGATTTTTTGCTCGTAATGTTTCGAACCAGTTCGTGGTCCTTAATCATAGGATTCGACGGAACCTGTGTTGTCAAAGCCCCACACAGTACGGGTGCGGGCGCAGGCGGCGGCGGCGAGCA